AACCCTCCCTTCAAATACCAACAAAAAAGGGGGGGCTCTTTTAAGGCTGATCAATTTGAGGGGTTTTCTTCCCCCCCCAGCCCCCAATCTTGCATTTTCGATGCGAAGGATGGGAGAGGAAGGGTGTGTGTGTGTGTGGTTGTTTTTGGACTACAGCACCCAGAATCCCCCAGGCAGCATTGGGGATTCTGGGTGCTGTAGTCCCCCTTCCCCCCCCAAAAAAAAGTTCCAAACTTTGGGGAAGATGAACCCTGAAATGTGGGATTTGCCTGGACAGCAATAGACATCAACTGTCCCCATTAAAACAAAAAGAAAATACTTGGGGGGGGGGAGAGAGAGAGAAACACAAGGGGAAAATGGTTGTTGTGGGTTTTTCAGGCTCTCAAGGGGAAAACCTCAAGAACTCTCGGCCAGACAGCCCGAAAATCCTACAACAACCCTCAAACACAAGGGACTTCGAAATCAATGTATTTTTAGGAAGTGAACACCTTGGTGAGCGTTTTTTCTTCTTAGAAATAGATCTGACTGGAACAGATGTATTTTTCTATTGTCTCACACAGAGGAGAACAATGTTTTCGGAATGAGATCTGTGTGTCCTTAATGTGTGTGTGTGTGTTTCCAGACAAATTTAATTCAAAGCAGGACCAAAAAAAGTTTTTTTTTTTTAAAAAATGGCCATTTTCATGACCTGGAAAGAGACAGAAGGAAGTGATGTGGTCGCTTACCGCGTTTGGTAAAAGTCGGGGCGAACCAATTTCCAAAAATCCAAGCGTTCTGTATCGTCAGCTTTAGGCCAAGTTAAGAAAAATGAGAAGGCCCCAAAATGATGTACGAGGTTTTGGCGGTTGGGGGGGAAGAGGAATGAGGGAAATGGACAAAAAGAGGAGAAAAATAGAGCAGATCTGAAGGTCTCCACGTCCCCGTTCTATCCCACTTTTGAGGAAAAGGAAGGAAAAACAGAAGATGTGGGTTTTCAGATTACTGTACTTGCCTCTGAGGTTGCAAGATGCTACCATGCAGCAGGATCCGGCCGGGAGGTGCAATGAAGTGGGTTCTTTCAGTCTTCCTCTTTTCCCACTGGCTTCAGTTTTTCCCCGCATTATTGTCTTTTCTGACGAATCTTGTCTTCTCACAATGGGTTCAAAATATAATAGTTTTAGTTTAAGTACTTCTAGAACGAGTTCCTCCTGAGGATTTTTAAAATAAGTTTAAATGGATTAAAAAAACCCAGATGTCAGTCTTTTTCCAATTTCTTGGCTGCGGTCTCCACATGGGTTGTCTTATTTATTATTATATATTTACAGTAAATATATTTGTTTTCCCACCCGTAAAATATATTTATTCTCCTTTAACCCAAAAGTTCAAGGTATAGACATTTTTTCTTCTCCATGAATAATGAGGTTAGGTAATTATTCGATAGCATGTCTATCTATTGCCTTCTTAAATTCAGCTTTCATCAGAACTTACTTATTTATTTGTTTGTTTGTTTGATTGATTGATTGATTGATTGATTTATATCCCACCCATCTGGTCGGGTCCTTGCTGTTTTTCCCAGTAAAGATGGAGTCATCCGTCCGTCTTAGGGTACTGATGTTTCTTCCGCCCATTTCCACTCCTCCTTCCTCTGAATCTAGTCTGGCTTTCTGTATGATGTGTTCTGTGTACAGATTCGACAGACAAGGGGCTGAAATGCAACTTGACCTGACCCCCTTTCGCAAGATGAGTGACTACATCTTGCTGCAAATGTTTGCTGTTCTTTTTTTTTGAATTAACTCTCAATTTGCTGCTAATTGAATTATCCACAATCGTACCTTACCCAGAGTGACCATTGTCCAGATGGGTGGTTTTAGGAGTTAAAATAATAATAACAATTTAAAAATTGGACTAACATTGTTATCACCGTGACATGGAATGTGGATTTTAGAATTTATCTTGCAATGTATATTTGTGGGTTCAGCTAAGTTGTATGTTGTTGTTTTGGGGCCCTTTCCACAAAATTAGTGGATCGTTCGAAACAGCTGAGCTTAAAGGCTGGGTACAGACCTGATTCCAGTCCCAGATTGCTCTGCTTATCACCTCTCTTCAATAAGGATTTTCATTTGTGTCTAGAAACATTCGCTGTTTCTCAGTCTTTTCCCCTGTTGCTTTCCATTATATTTTCACAGCACTTCAGAGGGGGACGAGATGGACTCCGGAACTCCGAAAAAGTTTTGTATTGAACCAGGGATCCGATCTAGGTTTTCCTCTTTGTAACCCTCGGCTTTGGCTGCGTCTTCGCAGAAGAAAATGGAAAAGTAAATGTAAAGTAAAGCTTATGGTTCTCCTTTCTCAGCCAGCTGAATGAGCCATTGAACCTTTCAACGTGGTGGGTCGGAAACAACCCCAATGCAGCCACCTCAGGTATGGGCTATATTATGTGGAAGAGGGGAAAGGGGTATTTTTTTTGGTAGGTTTCTCTTTTTGTTATGAGGATCATAAGAAATCTTCCGGTTTATTCCAGTCTGTGAATGATCATAAGAAATCTTCCGGTTTATTCCAGCCTGTGAACCAGCCTCGGAAGGATAGAGGGCTGAGTGAACGTTGAGCCGGCGACCTGGCATTGAACCCTGGGTTATAAGCACAGTTTTGGCTGCAGGACAGTGGTTTAAACCCTGCGCCACGAGATAAATAGGAGCTGCTCTGGTTTTCTCATTTGAAAGTCCGAGCGCTGCAGAAAATTGCTATGT